CCGCTCTCACTAGGGGTCCACACGTGACATATTCTGGTTTTGGACGCCTTATTGAGTGCACGTGTTTGTTGATGATAAAAGTTTTAATGAAAACTAGCGAGAATGTATTAGTATTTGACAAACGTCGACGTACATGGCCAGAGAAAGTTGAGACTAGCTTGCTGGTTCGTCAGTTCTTGTGCTTGATGGTAAAGTTAATTGAAAAATAAAATAATGTTGTGTTATTAATTCTTGTCGTAAAAATCTGATTTGTAAATGACTTTAAATAAAAATTGATGGTATAGCACCCAGACCACTAATATTCTGTTGCATCCAAGCCAGCCTGATGAGCCCTAGTATTGAACGAAAGGCCTCGTCAGCAATGGAGTAGATGTAGTGTGTTTGACACTTTATAACATACGCTTCTTAGCCTTCGCCCATGCGTGCTTAGAAATGCAATACACAACTGTATACCTTAGACCAAGGATTCCCAAACAGGTGGTCGCAGGAAAGTTTTAAGAGGGCCGTAGCAAATATACAAAGTACTCACAACTGTTATTTTTTTGAATTAATTTTTGATTCATTCTTTATATATATTATTTATTATGAAAGTAAGACACTCAGTATCTATAGAATCATTGAGTGGGGAGCTCAGTCAGGATGGGGAATGTTCTGGGGGGGGCTGTGCCTTACTTCCTGTAGAAATCCTCTGAGTGCATGCTACAGGGGTTACTTCGGTAGTTCTAAGGGCAGAGGAGAATATGTTATAACTGGTGTTAAAAGTTTTATAAAAGCTACACATTCTATTTATCCTTGTTATATTATAATGGTATCATTATAATTATAACAATATTATATTGTTTTTTATTTATTGTTTTATGTCTTTATGGGCATTAATTTTTGTTTGTACCATGGCAAAGCTGATACATCCAACCCGAAACCTTTTATATAACATCTGACATTAGTTGTTACACTTAACAAATTGTATAGTGGTGGGAGGCTTACAGAGTATCTTTGTTGAAGAGAGACAGTTTTCAAATAAATATACATCAACGACTATGGTTAAGGACGTGGGTTAGCGTTTATGGTATCCCTAACTATGGTATACCATCTTGTTATTTTTATTAATCATATTAATATGCTACTTACTATATCGAATATAGTTACATTTATTTTATTATTCTCATTTAACTTGTATTATATAGATTGATTTGCATTGTTAGCTTAAAATTTGTATTTAGGACTAACCTGAATCTCCTAAGTTGGTCGAACTCCTTGTGATATTATTGGGTTTGCGGCCGAAAATATCTTAAACAGCGAATGATGAAACAATGCATTCCAGTCTTATGATTAGATACGTGGGAAGTGTATTTAATTAGCTATACTGATTGATGGCCAGGTTAATGTTTAGTTTCCACTAAGTGCATAGCCTACTCCGATCGGAAGTATTTTTATTTATTAGATGTATGTGTAATACAAACTATGGCTTCGCTGTTGGCTGAGCGTGATAATCATGTAAAGCAAAGTTTAATGTGGTTAGATGCATAATAATGCAGTGTACGTGAAGACACGTACTAATGTTTCTTTTGAAAAAAATCTTTCCAGCTCTGCGTTTTTGTTGTTGTTTTTTTCCAGTCGTTATTCAAATGACTTTTTCAACCGCGAGGATGCAACAGTATCCTTTTAGATGTAAGTGTTGGATCGTTCGATTGTCAAATGTCTTGTTGAGTATGTTGCCATTGGTAACCAAGTAGGTAAAACAACTACGTCATAGGGGTGAGAAATTTTTTTTTTCTTGTCCATACATTAAAGTCAAGTAAGGTGGTAATATATTTTAATAGCCCTGAAATTTTAATAGTTGCTGAACCCGATTTTCTTGTTTTATAAATTCATATTTGCGTATAATTATAGTAAATGCATCTTGAGTGTATAAACAATGATGTTTGTGAGTGTTGGGCTTTTTCGCGTTTTATTCATCCCACGTTTTCATATTCATTACATCATTCCAAAACTAACCTATCGAGTAAGTTTAACATTTACTATTTTTACAATTTTTTTGAGAATTTATACTTAATAAATACTGGAGGGATTTAGGCTATTTTCGAACTTTTACTCTCCAAGTACGTTTTTAAAAAAAACTTTTATTTCAACCCTAGTTTCGTCATTATGGCTTCATTCAGGGCTTATACTACAACTGCTTATTATTAAAATATACGTTGAGTTATTAAATCACTGTAGATGTTTCATTTCTCGTGCTTTTTAACACATTCTGAATATTGTCGACGGAAAACAAGAGGGAATCCTCAATAGCCGCGCCACTTGAAATTCTTTTAGGCAGGATTAGAGTAAATTAATCTATGAGACCTTTTTATTAGCCAGCAATATCAAGCGTGGGCGCGAGTTTACCCGATTCAGTTTTATTAACAATCAGGACCTCTGCCAGCCTCTACTCTCAAATTGAAATTCTTTTAAGCAGGATTAGAGCAAATTAATATATGAGACCTTGGGCGTGGTCAAGTACATCAATAGCAAGGGTTTGACCTCCTGAGTCCAAAACTGTGATTAGATCTAAAATCGGTCAAGAGATGGCGGAGCTATGAGTTAAAAGTTTGTACTTGATATAAAATAAAAAAAACAACTTAAGATCCACTTTATGAACCGTTATGCCGCGGCTAAAAACGGTACAACCCAAGAATACTACTACATGTATTACAAGGTAGAATATTCGTTGATTCATATCTGTGAGAAAAGTTACACAAAATTTCATTTAAAAAATTTGTATAGACCTCGTTTTGATTATCTTCGCAAGAAAGAACGACACAGTAGTTGTGTAAGTCGACAAGGTCAGTTGGATAAACGTCCCATAATTTTTGACATCTGGATTAGTAGGGATGAGGGGGGAGTCACGTGATCTTTGGAGTGGGGGGGACGGGATATGTGTCCTTTCACTTGAGCATATGGACGGGAGGGGACGAGAGAGAATGGATATTTTGATCGAGAGCTAATGGACTTTCTTGGTCGGGAATGGACTGCTGGCGTATGTTTAATAAATGGAGAAAAGAAGCCATTACCTGTATAGTATAGTCGACTCTAAAAAAAACTGTTGAGGCTACATGACAATAAACTGCGTGTGCAGGACATGCGATCATAAATTAATCTGCAGATTCACTGGCTTGCTATTAAATTAGCCTTTTTACTCCACTGGAAGCTTCTGTTTAGATGATTTATTCTTTGCTGTTGTTGTTGTTTTGTTCGGGGTTTTTTTTCGACATAGCTCTCCCGCCAGGCATCTGTGTTTCGTTTATTTCCACTCAGAGCAACCGCGTAATTGACTCATTTTATTGTCATAGATAGCTACCAACCAGGAAGCAGCTAAAGCCGTTACGTGGATCGCTTAGTCGAATCGGTGCTTTGGGAGTCGCCCATTAACATTGGTGCTAGTAGATCCAGGTTTGCCCAATGGCTTATCACTACTTCTACACTATTTTTATTCCCAGCACATATGGTTCTTAGTTTACTAATGCTACATGATAGCTGTTGTTTTTTGTCAATATTTTTGTATTGTCTGACTTACCTCTTTAAAAGAAACTTCTTGGATAAAAAGAAAAAAAACTGTAATGAAATTTTTGTTTTCCCTTAATTTAAAAAAAAAATAGTAACGAAAAATTTAAAAAGTGGAAGAAAATAATAAGAAACATATAAAAATTGTATCAGTAAGGGCATCATTAATTTTTACTACTGTTTCTTTGTTTAACTTATTCAATTACAACGAGATTGTAAAAAAAAAACGTGTACGGAAGGTTTCGTTATCTTTTTCACTTGAGTATGTTGTATATAGTTTAAGTGCTTTGTCAGTTTTCAGTAAGATTTTACCACCACCCCTTTCACACACACACACTTTCCACAAACATTAATAAATGCGATTTTCACTTGAATATATACAATTTTTATTTATAAGAGCTTACTATACACCTTAAAGTTTGAGTATATAATTTTTTTTTAACTTGTACATTTTTCCAAATAATATCAGAACTTTATATTTTGACTTTCAGGATTATCAGAATGTATTTTTGATATCCATTAATGGAACTGTGACAGAAGGTTAATTGATTTCAGAAATACTTGCGTCAATAAATATGTTAACCTGTTTGCAACTGGTTGTTATGTAGCCAACACTTACCTGATACATAGTTGTAATTCTATGATATCATATTTCATTGTTTTTAAAACTGGATGTTGTGTAGTCAACACTTAAAGAGGTACTTAGTTGTAATTCTATAATATGGTACTTAGTTGTAATTCTATAATATGGTATTTCATTGTTTTACAACTGGTTGTTGTGTAGTCAACACCTAAGTGGTACTTAGTTGTAATTCTATGATAAGGTATTTCATTGTTTTGCAACTGGTTGTTGTATAGTCAACACCTAAGTGGCACTTAGCTGTAATTTTATGATAAGGTATTTCATTGTTTTGCAACTGGTTGTTGTGTAGTCAACACCTAAGTCGCACTTAGTTGTAATTCTATGTTAAGGTATTTCATTATTTTGCAACTGGTTGTTGTGTAGTCAACACCTAAGTGGTACTTAGTTGTAATTCTATGATAAGGTATTTCATTGTTTTGCAACTGGTTGTTGTGTAGTCAACACTTGTTTATTTGTCACTCTGAAATGTTAAGCTGTGATTTTGCATTTCATCCAATTATATGTTTTATGTTTTAATCACATATTAATGCTTCCAGTCTGAATATTGTACAATATTTTTAACTTGTGTTCGTCATAAACAGAATATTTATTTAAAGAATGTTTCCTAGCTTCTCTTATGTATCTGTGTTTGTAACAGTTTTCAAGGGCTGTCAACTATCTTATTAACAAACAAGAACGTATTTCATTCATTTGATATAGAGAGACTTCTAGTTTCTGAGAAAATTCTGTTCTGTTCTCTGGAATTCAAAACATTTCATGATAATATAGGTTTTGTATACCTTATGTGCATTTTTTTATTTGAACTATTTCTTTTCAGCCGTATGGAGGACCTGAATGTGAAGAAGACACACCTAAGTATTCAGCACCTAAATCAGCTCTTTATGGAGAGCCATATTTTGTGGGTAAGCCCTGCTTTAGATCATTATCATATTTTGTGGGTAAGACCTACTTTAGATCATTATCCTATTTTGTGGGTAAGCCCTGCTTTAGATTATTATCATATTTTGTGGGTAAGCCTTACTTTAGATTATTATCATATTTTGTGGGTAAGCCCTGCTTTAGATTATTATCATATTTTGTGGGTAAGCCCTGCTTTAGATTATTATCATATTTTGTGGGTAAGCCTTACTTTAGATTATTATCATATTTTGTGGGTAAGCCCTACTTTAGATTATTATCATATTTTGTGGGTAAGCCCTGCTTTAGATTATTATCATATTTTGTGTTTGAAGCTTCTTAACAATTTTCTTATCATCACTAGTAATACACAACAATATTTTGCTCTTCAGATGGAATGGGATGTTTCTTCAAACATGCAGAGAAATTTTGTTGGAATACAAAATGCATGTTTATTATTTTATTCTTCAGTGCTACCCTATATTCTTTCCAGCAGATATGTAAAAATAAACTGTTGAATATTTAATAGTTCCTCTTGTAGTTTGATTCCTGGTGAAAAATTCCAAAATCGGTTTATATTTTTGTGTAGAACAGAGTACTTTTTTATGTGTAGACATACATCAGTGAATTGGTTAAATAGTATGTTTTTTTAGTGTTGAATTATTGTTAGATGACGACAACTCTCAAAAAGAGTGTACAAATGTTTTATGTTCTGTGCTGTTTGATCTTTTTTTGTACTTCCTACAAAGCTACAATTACTTAACTTCTGGTAACTAAAGTTCTCAAACTTATTATTTTTTTCAATTCAGTTATACTTTTGACTAAAAAAATAGGAACATTTTCCTTCGGAATGATAAAATTATAGTAAGTTGAGATGTTCGTCTGCTCATGATTATTGCGTATGGACCTTCATTTATAGTATGTTTTGCTTTGAGTGTAACCTTTGTACTAATAGAATGAAATAACACAAGCTAGTGTTTGTATACTGAGTTTTTATGTTTAAGATGTGGGTGTGTATCGCATAATAGTAGCTGATACAATACGTATCTAGGTACAAAAGTTTTACCAACAGTTTGTTACAAAGTTTGACAGTCTTGTCTGTAATTTATTATCTATATTACTAACATTGTCATATTTAAGTACTTCACACTTTACAGTGCTTTTCCAAACTCTCAGGTTTGATCAACTAAATGGCAGCTGGCAAGAGAAGTAAAATAAAAACAAGTTAATATCTGTCTATCTATTTTGTTATTGTTAATTTGTTATATTACTTTCCATGAAATGTTTATGATAAAATAAATGAAGACAACATGTAGTACTCAATACTCATCTTCCTTTATTGAATCATTAATTTTTAGCAAAAATACTTTATTAGAAATTCTGATTTTTTATGTACAAAAGATTTATAATGTTTACTGAAAACTTGCCAAATTTTATGTACAAAAGACTTATAATGTTTACTGAAAACTTGCCATATTTTATGTACAAAAGACTTATAATGTTTACTGAAAACTTGCCAAATTTTATGTACAAAAGACTTATAATGTTTACTGAAAACTTGCCAAATTTTTATATACTTAAGCATGAAGTATTTTTGTTTTTAACATTTGACATTCAAGTGAATCTTGCATATATAACTATTTAAGATGAAAGAGATACTGTACATAACACAATTTCCATTCTATGAATTCTGTGGTGTTTGAAGAGAATTAATTTTATTGTATGTACTGTACATTAGTAATGCTAAAAGAAAAGTTAGCACAAATTTGTGTTATGTATAATGCTTGGGAGTTATTTTATGTCACTGTTTAACTCATCTCCCCATTTAACATGTTCATTTTAAAACATAGTACACATAGACCATGACTGTTTGCAAAATTGTGGGAAGACTGTAATTTGAATCTGTGTTTTTAAAACAGAAGCTCCAAATGGTGGTGCTGACCCATGGTCATCTAGCCTTAACCTGCAGTCATCATCATATGCATACCCTTCAGCAGTAATGGCTAATGCAGGATCCCATCTCCCTTCCACATTGTCTGCCTTTTCAACCATGCATCTTCCTTCAGAAACAATGGTGAAGGATTTTTTTATCCTTTCTGTAGATTTATCTAAACAGTTTTAGACACTAAAAACTGAGGATAAGAACATGAAAAATATTATTCTCACAAAAATTATGTTTCATGTGTAAAAAATGAATAAATCACCACTAATTTTTCATTTGCTTTGTGTAAAAATTTAGCTTTGAAAGTATTTACAAATAAAATATGCATTGACTTTTTTAAAAAAAAATAAATATGGAACTTCTAAAGACGTGGTAGTAATTAAATGTATGCAGGAATATTTCAAACTTAACTTTATCCCCTGATTAATTACATTATTATAGAAATGTAAAATCGTTCTGTGGGTTTAAACTGATTTCAAAATTCACAAAATCAGTCATGTTCATACTTCTATTGACCCAAGACATGAATCAGGTTTTAGTGTGTTTTTATTCTTGTGATTTTTAAATTAAAAATAAGCATTTTGTGATAGAGTTTCGAAACTCTGTAATTCATCTTATGTTGTGAATTTCAAGAGTGATTTTTTCAAAGTACTTTGTATGAAAATCAGTGGTGTCACAGACTAAGCTGCTTTTATCTCTGTATTGTTCAGGTAAAACAACAGGTACATATACCTACATAAACGATTATTATTTAAAATGAAGTTTGGCAGAAAGTACTTTTTCTCCTTTGTTTAGAATAAGTTCCTACTAAATGATACAAAATTTTAATCTCAAAACTAGCCATTACGTCTGTTTGTGTTTATTGTTGACTGTTAAGATATTTATTTTATACATTGTTTGAATTTTGTTTATGAAATATGAACTTCTCAAGTCTCATGTAAGGTTATGAGAGGCCAACAAAGAGTTTTAACAATGTAATCCAACTAATCCTAATTTTTCAAAATTCTTCTTTTAGTGAACCAATTCTTTGGCTTAATTACCAAATCAGATGGACGAATGTTTTAATATTAAAAAGTTTCATGATACGTTTCTCTGGTTGGCAGCTTCACAAAAGGAATGTTAGTTAGAAATTTTGTGTATGTGTGTGTTTTCAGTTGACGATACTTCAGGTTGGACACTTATTTAAAACATACGTGTTTTGGTTTAACATTTTTTCCCTAAACAGTGAACCAAATACTGGAGTACATATTCCATTGTTGCTGTGGTTATTAACTTAAGTAAAACCACGTCAAAACTTGGAGGATCTTTTAAAGAACCCGTTGGTTTTTATCTTAATTTTCTTTATTTGGACTTTGGATGGGTTTGAATGAACACTTAAAGAATCACTTTGAAAATATGTAATTGTAATAAAGCTGTAAGTGAGTAATTTTCCTTTTAACCCTAAGTGAATTGGTGGGGAGTTCAAAGTGTACATGCCACAGTCTTTTACAGAATGCCATTCAAGATGGTATTATGTATTTAATGTTAGAGTTATGAGCTGGGTATATTATCTTATATTACTGATTTAGTGAAAGTTCTTGATAGAGGAGAATAAACTAAACACCAGATAGAATATACAGGGATACTGAAAAAAAAATATAGATATGCATTGTAAGAGGTTCCAGAGCTTATGCAAATACAATATGTAAAGTGAATGATGGACAAAAGTAGGTTTATTCTTCACATGAACATCACCTTGCACTCTGACTTGTCAGAGTCTGAATCAGACTGACGTCGTCAATTCACAGACATATCTTGAGTACAAATACTGTTGTAATACGTCTGATTTTTTGTGTGTGACAAACTTGTACATTTTACTAAAAGATCACTAAATTTCGTGTAGATACACTGAGTAAATTTGGGATTATACCTGATATTTCTTCTCCAATATGGGGGCAATCCCATGCACATTTGGTTAATGCCATTTGACAAGTGTAAAAGTGAAAATTGTTGTTAACATACTACATTTCTTGTTATTGTTTATATATTTGTGTGTCAGAATGAGAGTGTTTCTTATCTTTCTTCTAATAAAAAATAAATGGGAAGGTTATCCAAACAAATAATTTATGCCGTCAGTTGCTTTCGTTAGTAAATGTGTATGTTTCGATCTCTTAAAGTTTTGAATGGAGGTAATAAAGGTTCTGTTACTTTCGTAGGGTTTTCAAGGTGTCCCCCCTACCCTTGACCACGCTGTTATGCCACCAGGTCTTCCGCCCATGTCTAGTTTTCATGGCCCGTCCAGTCATGGTGCAGCAGTGTCTCAAGCAACAGCTTCTTCAATATATGGTCAGAACAACACTTCACCAGCCCCCATCCATACCTCTGACCAATTAGTAAATAGAGGGGCTTCCCAAACTGGAGATGCTTTAGGAAAAGCATTAGCTTCAGTAAGTTGTGATTTTGATGGAAACCTTTGTAAGCATGTTTACTGTATTGCTGTTTTTATTTTAAGATATAACAACTAACATAATAACCTTGAAAGATAAATATGGTAAATTAGTATGTTATTGACATCAGCTAATCTGATGAGATTTGATATTCCTAAAAACTGAAAACCTCAGCTGAGATTTTCCAAGATTTGTTATAGATATGTTTCTTGTTTGATCTGTTGTGAGTAAGCTTTTATTTTTTTTCATCATATTGATCAGAATTTCACGTTTATGTTTTTATCAATTCTTAAAAGAAAATTTAAATTTTCTGAATTTACTTTTATTGGTGAAATTAAGAGATTAATTACCTATTTGTCAGGAATTTAAAGAACCTAAACTTATAGTTGGGCTATTAAATAATGCTTTAGACACAGTTTACTTGTCTGGGAATTAAAGTGTTGTTTTCATTCAAAATTTCATTTTAATTATTATGATGTTCTTTTTTTATGTGATAGAATTAATCAGATGTTAGTAAATTGTAGTTGTTGTACATGCTCTTTGTCTGTGTTATACTGAAATGATTGAGAAGAAACATTATTATTGTAACTTTAGTATTTAATCTCAAGATTCTCACAATATTATATCTTTTTTAATTTATTTTTGACTTTATGTTCCTATTTGTGGAATTAAATATCCATTCTTTTCTTTTTTGTTCATTTATGATAAGTACTATGTGTTTTAATATAAAATGAATCATAAGGTTAGAGTGTAAAATGATATAGTTTTTTCTGTATTTCAGATTTACTCCACTGAACCCACAAATGGCACTTTCTCTTCTTCACCAACGACACCTGTCAGTTCACCACCTTCCATTTCGGGTAAGTCTTAAGAAGCCACCCCCGTTCTGGGTAACGTAACTCACCTGAATTAAGTTTCTAACATATTCCCTAAAGCTAAAAGGATATCAAGAAACTTGGAGAGGTTAAATTGATAAATTAACAGCTAAAACAATAGGCTGATAAATACTATTCAACTTATTATGTGAAGCTAATTAGTAGAACTGTTAGTTTTCTGAATACAAAAACTAAAGCTTCAGCTTTTTCTACTTAGTTTCATTTCACTGATTACACAATTATAACAAAAGGTTTACATATCACTGATTACACAATTATAACAAAAGGTTTACATATCACTGATTACACAATTTTTCTGTTTTTGTTAATACTATTATTTAAGGCTCGAATATAACTTGAAATTTCTAGATTTAAAAACGAAAGAAAAAACAAACTTTAATTTACATGAATCCCAAGTAAAAGTCATGAAATATTTTTATAAAAATTATCAGTGAAGTTTGTACCTTCACTATAAGGACACAATGTGACTAACAAGCAACGCTGAAGTCTATTCCTGTATGTTCTAGAACTTATAGCTAATGTTTTGAAGCTTTTTTTTTTATATACAGATGTTCATGAACTATGAATGGTTCTTTCTGTACAGGTGTTCCTCAGTGGACCCATAATTCTCAAGTAGCCCCACCAACCGTTTTTACAGATGGAACACCACACCATTTGGTGAGTAACAGAAACCGTAACCATAATTTAGATAAAGCATGTAGTTCTAGGTAAACATTTTATTTTTTTTCTTCTTTTTCTTGGCAACTTTTTTTATCATAATAGAGATCTCTTTTATAATAAATGGGTGTGTTAAAAATTATGTTTTTGACATTTTCACAATCCTCAGCCTGTTTTTACCTCTTTGTGATACCTTATTGTTTGTAACATCTGTTAACATCTAACATTCTTTTATCATTTGTTTTAACTTTATTTTATCAAATATAAATGAAATGCAATTTTTGAAAAGCTGTTTAGATTTTTGCATGTTTTATACTTCCTAGTTTTTATTAATTTTTGCATGCTGCTTCATTTGTATATAACACCCCTCCCTTTCTGTTGTCTGTAACTTGTAGCTAAATAGTGAGGAAGACAGACTTATTGAAGCTATTCACCTCCTTCGAGACGAAGTGGAGGTAAAGTTATCTCTTTCATGGCTCATCTCAATGTTTCTTGTTAAAAAAAAAAAACTTATTTTGCAAATTTATTTCATTCGCATAAAAATCTATTCCGGAAAAGAAATGTTTAGTCTTTACTTCTGTCAGTTTGCTAGTCATTTAATAGATTAATTTTGTGATAAACAAGATTTACTGATACCATAAGAAACAACTGGAAACAAATTTAGTTCGAGAGTGATTTTTCTTATCTTTAGTTTCACTAATAACTTCTAACATATTTATTTATTTCTCTGTATAATTCAAGGTTAGATTAATGAGACTAACATTTTTATTTTTTTTAATTTCCACTAAATTTTTATGCTAGCATTGCTATAGTATTTCAAAATATTTTCAAAAGCTGTTAATAAATTATATATATTGTCCTTCCCATAGGTTGTAAGAAGGATGTATGTTATTGTTTTCCCAAAATAATTGTCGTTAATTATTATAAATATATATCAAAATTATTCAGAATATGTTACTACTTTATCGGACTTCAAAATCCATTGAATTATTAAAAGTTTATAATTAAAATTTGATAACATACTTATTGTAATCGTACTACCTTTTTTAGAAAAATCTCTCACTTTCTAAAACAAATACTTAGATATAAGAAGTAGTAAGAATATTCACTGAGTTTTAGTGTTAAAAAAAGATTGAATAAATCATTAAAACAAATTCTAAAGTTTTCTGTAATATCAGAAACCATTTTTAAAATTATATTAAAAATGGGCCATTACAAGTCCCATAATTTCACATTTTTTTAAATTGTTCAGCCATAAAACTCCACTTTTTCAGGTTTATATTTCTGAGTGAAGTAGGAAGATCATTCAATGTTTTGTTCCTTCATTAGGCTCGAGGTGTAATGGAGGAGCGTCTCGATGATGCTATTAATATCCTAAGGAACCATGCAGAAGGAACAGGACTTGTACCTGGTGGTGACCTACCAAATTCTGTAATGCCAGTCGCTTCAGCTGCTGGACATTCCAGTCGGCTGACGGGAAACATTGGAGCACATCATTATCCAGGTTCCCTTGGAAAATCTGCTTTAGAATCCCATCCAGTAAGTTTACAAATCATCATTATTAGTTTGATGTTGATATTTTTCATTTACTAGGACGATAAAAACCTACTGCTGATTAACTGCCACAAATTATCTCAAGATGAAACTTTGTTAAGTCATATTAAAAGAAAGCACGACTTTTTGTGATTATTTTTGTTGTTAGAAGTTTCCTTTTTACCTTGTGCATTTTGAATAGTCTTGTTTATTAATTTATTCAGGATATCTGATAATTAATAGCTATTCATTGAAACAGAGTAAAAAAAAAACCCTTCAGAATGAACTTGTACTCTCTTAGAATAGCTTTGTTGATATTTAACAAAAAATATTAGAACGAAGTTACGAAGCTTTCAACCTACTGTCTGAAATTTAATCACATATTTCAAAAGTTGAAGAAACTGAATTTAGTGGAGTGTCGGTATTAAATCATTTAATTTTTCCTGTTTGTTATGTTAAATAATCCTTTGCAATAAATCTAAAATCTTTAGTAAGTATGACTTGTTTTAAATTATAAAATATAAAAATGTTTTAAATATTACAATTTTTTATGCGACTATCGAAATGGGAACTTTTGTTGAAGTCACAACTTAAAATGTGGTATTAATAATATTTCTTTTTCTATTCTTTAGTCAAGTTCTCAATCTTTAGGAGCTAAGAATCAGTCATCCTTACCTAATTCCTCTGTACAGTCAAGTGCAGTACAACAAGCCGGTAAGCTAACTGTAGATGAGGTGCCAGGTATTATAAGATGATGGTTAATCCCACTATTCATTAGTAAAAGAATAGCCCGAGTGTTGGTGGTGCATGGTGTTGGCTAGCTGCCTTCCCTCTAGTCTATTGCTGCTAAATTAGGGACAGTTAACCAAATAGCACTTGTGTAGCTTTATGCAAAATTCAAAATTAACCAAAAGCAATCTTAGTTGTTGATATAACTCCCACCTTACCATATTTCTGTAAATATTTCAGCATTACCGAAGTCTGTAATTAATATTTCTGTCACTTCTTAAATAAACATAAGATTTCTAAGATTGTTAGGTAAAATATGACACTGTTATCAAAGGCTCCCAGTGGTATGTCTGCGAACTTACAACGCTAGAATCCGGGTTTCGATACCCGTGGTGGGCAGAGCACAGATAGCCCATTGTGTAGGTTTGTGCTTAATTACAAACAAACCGTTATCAAAGAGAAAACTAGATTTTCTCATACTAATGTAAAAATAACCAAAAGTTCTATCCCATATTTTTCAAATAGTTTAAATTTGCTGAATAATTATTAAACAAATATTTTATAAATTTCATAACAAATTCAAGACTGATTTGCATAAGTTTATTGAAAGTTTAAAAGATTAAAAACAAGATTTGAGTACAGTTGGCAGTAGGAGTTCACTTTTATAATCTATAATGTTCTATCAAATACTGTTTATGTTTTGAATTATCAAACAATAATATGATGAACATTTCATGAACTCTTCAGTTCTATAAACCACTTCTGGTACACACACATCAATATGTGATGTACAGACTACATCTGAATATTGATTGTTAATTATTTCAATATTATTTCAGTTTAAATTATATAAAAATTATAATAATTATAAGAATTTTTTTTTTTGTATTTAATAAAGACTTGGTGATATGATAGAAAGAAATATATATATATATATA